CACAGGCACGAGCCACCAGGTTTGGCCATATAACTAACTAATCTTTTAAAATGTTTTGCTGACCTGAGCAAGTGGGAGTGCATGGACCCCAGTCTGACAGCTGGGGAACCAGCATAGGACTGAACCAAGCCCCCTGAATGTAGGTGTCCATTGGAAATGCAGGGCAGTCTATGGGACTTCTGGCAGTGGAACCATTATTTATCCCTAGTGCACGGACTTAAGGAGCCCATTCCCTATGGAGGGATACTCTCTTAACCTAGATACATGGGGGAGGCCTAGTCCCTGTCCCAAGTGATGTGACAGACTTTGGTGATCCCCCATGGGAGGCCTCACGCTCCCTGGGGAGTGGGATGGGGGGTTGGTGGGGGAAATGGGAGGACAGGGGGGAGAGGGAGCTGGGATTGGTATGGAAAGTAAGATTGTTTTTAATTTAAATTTAAAAATTAAATGTTTTAAGGTTTTATTCATGTGTGTTTTCCATCCATGTATTTATGTCAACCGTGTCAGATGCCCTGGTACTGGGATTATGAGTGGTGATGAACAAACCTGTGGGTGCTGGGAATCAAACCCAGGACTTCAAATATAAATGCTCTTAAACCCTAAGCCATCTCTCCAGCCCCCAGAAAATTCTGTGACCTAAGTTTTGGTTTTAAACCAAACACATAACATTGATTTTCAATTTTTATTCAAGATTCTGTTTTAAAATTCAGTAAAAGCAAATTGTTTTTTAAGATCGGGTCTCACTCTGTAGCCCAAGCTGGCCTCAAGCTAGTGGCAACCCTCAGTTTTCTCAGTACTGGGCTGGTTATATAGGAAAAACCCTAACAGTCTTATTTTGGGGGCCTAGGACAGGGGTACTGAACGGCAGGCTGGTTACTAACGGTAGACACAGATTACTTTGTTTTTATACCGTCTACTACCTTTGCCATCCCAGGCCAAGATGATGTTCCAGTCTACCTGAGAAATCCAAACATAATTTTCCCACCACAGAAAGCCTTTTCAGAGCCAGGAACTACTGCAAAGATCCAGATAATCCAATTCTCCATTCTCTCTGAATCCTATCCTTTACATGGGCCTCTGGACAGACACCTCTGACCTGTCACACCCTACCCCCTGGGATGGTGGACACTCTTCTCAGAAGCCTGAGGCTCACCACCTGCCTCTCAGTTTTTCTGGATCCTCCTCTCTAGGAAGACTTTGTAGGACCTTTTCTCTGCCCTGTTTGGCTGCTCTATTCAGAAACAAGCTGTGAATTTTGGGACTTTGCATTTTGTACTGCGGTGCCAGCTGGACAGAAAGCCCCTTCCATGATTTCTTTGGGCTCTTTTAAGACCCTCCTCTCTCCAGGGTCCAGTCCCCAAATCTCCCAGAGCCATAATCTTCAAAGGCCATGCTCTGTCCCATCTGGGGAAAGTGGGCAGCTCTGGGGTGACTCAGCCCCGGAATGTACTCACTTCCTCACTCTGCCACCTGCCTGCACTGCAGGAACACAGCCTGGCTCACCTCCAGCGGATGTTTTCCTTGTCCCTGCACAGGTGGCCTGTGCCAACCCCCATCCTGACTCCTGCCCCACCCCTTGCCCCAAAGGTTGTTCTCCTGGGACTCAGTGGCTTTAGCCACTGATAACCCTACGCATACACAGCAGTGCCCAGACCATCAAGCAGTTCTACGCTACCCTGCAACCTCAGAAAGTTATCCTGCTCAAGCCCAGTCTCCTTCCAGTTGTCACAGCTAATGCTCACTTCAAAGTTCATACACCAATGCCCACCAGGTCCCACTTCCAGCACCCCACTGCCTCCAGTAACTGTAGTTACTGCAGAAAATAGTCTATGCTCAGCCTTCAGGTGGGTACCCCCCCCCCCAAAGCAGTGCTAAAGCTAACTAATGACCAGATTTCTAAGCCCTATGCTTGATGCCCCTACACAGGAGCCTACCTGGGTGCACGCTGCTAAGTTTTCCTTTGTTTTTGTCCTGACACCCCTCTGAAAGGGAACCTTGTTTTCTTTCACTCAACTTGGGAGTGGTGGTGCTTGGGGTGGAACCTAGGACACTGAGACGGTAGGCGAGCCCTCTGTCACTGAACTACATCCCTGGCCAAAGCCAAAGCTATGTTGGAGGAAGACAGCTAAGGAATTAGACCTGTACTGACAGCGGGGCTGAATGGAGAGGTGACACGCAGAAAAGTAAGTCCTATCTGCTGTACCAGGTGATGGAGAGTAAAGCTTGGCATGAATGGGACTACAGGCTTGAATGAAAACCAGAGCAAATGTCCTATGAGCAGGAGAGGGATAGTTGGAACAACAGCTGGGTCTTTGAAATGTGGGAAAGTAAAAGTGAAGAGGTCCAGTTTGATCAGGGCCCTGATAAACCACCACCATCACAAGGGTCACAAAGCTGGCTTGGGATCCACATGATCACACAGAAAAAGCAGAGTCCTAAAGCTAGCAGGAGGGAAGGTAAGGCATCCCTCTTCCCAAGGTAATAAGGTGGGAAAAGCGGCTTAATCCGTAGCAGCACGGTGTCCCAAACTAGACACAAGGAACTCCAGATGTCAACAACTGAAACTACAATGCTCCCAGGGCCACATCTGTTTTTCAAGGGGGCAGTAGGGTACCCTGGAGCATAAATATGGAAAGCAGATGTTGGCCTGGAGACAGCAGTCCACAACAGCAGCCCTCAGCTGTGCAGAAATGCTCACTGTCCTCCAGGGGAGAGAACAGCAGCATTTTCTCTGTGCTTTAGCCTCAATAAGTGGCTATTTTATGAGAGCCATGAGCCAAAGATGGTGCTAAGAACATCCCATGTGCTATTCATGATGAGCCCATGAGCTGGCATTTCTATAAAGAGAAGAATGACAGAGGCAAAGTGACTTGTGTGAGGTCAGATAGCTAGGAAGAGTCGCGACCTGAGTCCCAACAGTCAGTTTCTAGTCTCCCAGAGCCGGCAAAACTCAAAGAATGCCTAAGACCGAAGTCCACCAAGCCTCACACCATCATGAGGAAAGAGGAGACACCTCTGTGAAAGTTCAATGATCTGTTAGGGTACTTGGAAAAGATGCTTCTCTTTGAGGTAGGGCATTGCTAGGATTGGGGCAATCTTGCATCTGCTGCCCCTTTGGGGTAAAAAACAATGTGGCAAGTTTATCTTTGGGGTGCCCCACAATGCTGAGGGTAGCCATTTCTCAGATGCATTAGGGAAAGCCTGCCCCAGGAATGGAAGGAAACATGCTCTTCACTCCAGATGCCTGCTTGCTCTCCTGGAGCCTCTGGCAGTTGCACCCTGCTGCAGCTCCTTGGTTTGGCTGGGGCACAAGATTAGCCATCCCCAGGAAATGCCTCCCTCCGGTCCAGGCAGGGATCCCAGCACACACACCCCTGGTGGTGGAGGAGGGAGGGTTGATGGAATGCTTCCTCTCTGCAGGTCAAGGAGATCTGGGGACCACCTGGGGCCTTCAACCCTCCCCCTCCTGGCTGGGCAAGTGCCCAGTCCAGTGCCCCTTCCATGGCCACCCCCTTCCTCCTAGCTGTGTGGGGGCATGAATCAGCTCTCACAGCTTGTTAAAAGCTGGACCTCGTTTTCATGCCCTCACCTCAGGAAACAGAGTTACAGCCTGTCCAGTTCTACTCAGCAGGGGGCCAGGGTCCTCACTTTATAAACATCCTCAGCCTGTTAGAGCAGAGGGCCATGGTATGAGAAAGAGCCCAAGGAGAGAGAAACTCAAAGAGTCAAGAAGCCACGCAAGAAAAGCAAAGGGATAAGACCAGAGGAACCTGAACAAAAGCCAAGCAGGGCCTGAGAGAAGAGCTACAGGAATGACTCTAAGGATGCTCTGGGCTGGACAGGGCAAGGGGATCCTGGGAGGCTGGAGGAGCATCTGCCTGGTGGTGTCTCTGCTCCTGCAGCACCCAGGAGTGAACAGCAAGTGTTACTTCCAAGCTCAAGGTAAGATGGACTGAGGCTTAAGGAAAAGATGGGGTGGTGGTGAAGGCTCAGAGATAAGCCTATATTAGACTACTCAGTCCTCCAACCTGTCAAACAGGAAGGACTGTATGGAGGGCTAGTGTGCATGGCTTCTCCCCCATCCCAGCCAGAAGACTGCTGCCAACACTCCCAGTTCTCACCTACTACAGAACCACCCTCATTCTGCCCTAGCCCCCTGCCACTATGATGGGAAATATTTCACTCTGGGTGAATCCTGGCTCCGCAAGGACTGTTTCCATTGTACCTGTCTGCATCCTGTTGGTGTGGGCTGCTGTGACACGTAAGTGACCAAGAATGGTCAGAGGGAATGCCACGGATGGGGTTGAGGGGCGGCCAGGGAGTAACTAATTTCTGTGAGACAAGAATAACAGAAGAGTGCCATGCGACCACAGATGTGAAGGCACCAAGGAGAAAGGGGAGACGAGGTAGATCGGGAGGGAATACTCCTGCTTGGAAAACTAAACAGTCCTTATACAGGACTGGAGAGCTGAGTTAGGGAGTCTGGGTGACACTAGAGGAGGATATTGGAGGATGGCCATGAGAGGCAAGGGCATGCCATAAAGGTGGCTTTTCACTGTACTGACTCTCCCAATCTTTGGTTTTCTAGGTCTCAGCATCCCATTGACTTCCCCGCTGAGTGTGAAATACGCCAGGAGGCAGGAACCTGTCAATTTTCTCTGGTGCAAAAATCTGACCCTCGGCTTCCCTGC